CGACGCACTCGCTCAATCAGCCGTACTCGAGATTCGCCGGCTCCCCGACGACCAGAATTGCCAACCCTGATGAAATTTCAATAAATCTGGTGATATCTTTTTTGTTTGAAAATAAGTAAAAATTTTTCTGCGAATAGCAAAAATTCGGTAAATTTAGACGGCCTATAAAGAGACCAGCTCGTTACATGTGTTAACTGATTGGCTAATGAGTATATTACTTTCATGAGCATTTCATGAGTATTTATTTAGATTTACAGTGGAAAATATTTAAATATATTATAATACTTAATATATTTAAATATTTTCCATATTTTTCAAGTATATTATTTATTTGTAATAAAACGTATTATTAATTTATAATAAGGACACTTGATGAAAAATTGAATCAATTTGGGAAAGTGTTTGTAAAAGATGGAGAGATTTGGAAATTTATTCTTAAAAAAGTTAGTAAAAAGCACAGTTTTAAAATCTGGCAGCCGACGAGTGCCGACGACAAGACTCGTAAAACGAGAACGTTACGCGAAATTCACCGCGCGTGCGCGTCCGGTCCGACCGTGCAGTATTTCACGAGAGGCGCACTTAATTAACAAGTTAATTACAAAGTGTCCCCGAATTTCCGATCTTCATTTTAATGATAGATACTTCGCGTCCACTTTGGGGTCGGCTTCTTCCGTAATTAAGGTATCGATGTATTAATAACTGCCCAATTATAAGCGACTGGGAGAACGAATATTTCTTCACGAGGAGTCTCTCCGAGTTTCTGCTTGCAATTAAAATGATAAAACGCGACGTCCCGCTACAGGAAGAGCGCTTATCCAATAAAGAATGGCCGCGGAATAGATTATCGACCCGACCAATGAGCATAGTCGGAATCGTAATGAAGAGATCTTTAACGTTTTAATTCGTTGAGAGGAACGTTACTATGTTAAGTGTCCTATTAGAGCAACACCTCGTCGTTCTAATGTAAACCAGTCTTTTTCTCACAATATTTTCTCGTGATCATAAACGGACTTTAAATATCAAGAAATTACGTAAACTCTAAACATGGATGAATTTTAGCGCGTCCTCAATTGGTCATAACTTCCCATGAAAGCGATTAGAATATAATGCTTTTTTTTAATCAGTGTAGAAAATATCAAGAAATACGGTTTCATTCCCTTTGATATTGTATTGAGAAGAAAAGTATCAAACATTTCGATCGGTCTCATTTTAGCCAAAAATTTTGCTTCAAATTTTATACCAAATCTTCGTCTCAACCATAAAACCTTTTCAGTCTATTTTCAAAAATGGTAACGTTTGGAAAGTTGGTATGGCTAAATTTCATTCATGCTTAGGATTCTAGGGTCGAGGAACAGGAAGACCGACTTTTCTCGGCTATCAAATCCACCGTGAGATCTATCGTTGGAGTTATAATTAGTATATTTCGAGATGATCCGTGTTATATACATTCGGTTAATACGTGCCACGATTATAATTAGCCGCGGGACAGGCATCGTCGCTCGCGCCCGAATTAAAACAACGTGTCGCGCCATACGGAAAAGTCGTGACGTTACCAATCTACGATCGACCTAATTATTATCGAGGAGCCTTCTGCGTGGGCTGCGAGAGAGAGAGAGAGAGAGAGAGAAAGAGAGAGAGAGAGAGAGAGAGCCGGTCCCGATACGTCCAACAAGATGACGCCGGATAAACCCGTGTCTGGCCCCACCATCGATACATTAATTAAAACATCGATGCTCTCGGCCGTGACTTGCAGCGAGCTCACGCCCAGAATCGATCGCTCGAACGTAACCGTCGCGCTTTTATTTCGTCCCTCCGCTCTCCCGTTCTCGCTCGACGCGCGCCTCTCGTCTTTCCTCGCAAACGCTCGCATTCTCTCATCCTCCTACGAGGCTATTCTTCTTTCTCATTTCGCTCATTTTCCCGTGCGAATTAATCGTTATTAAGAGTAATTGAGTTGCTCAGATGTGTCAGAGAAATATTTCAGAATTGAATTCTCTCCCAAGATTTGCGTTAGACACCATCCCTCACAAACGACTGCTGCATCAATCAGGGTTGCATTCCGAAACGTTCTTTTTGAGGAAAATTTTATTCAATACCTATATAGTTCACGTTACATATACTATAGAGTATCGAGTAAAATTTGTTCAAAAGGACGTTTTGGAGTGCAACCCAGGTATGTTTCTTTCTGTATTTATCAAAGTGTCAAAAATATGTAAAGACACATGTAAAATTCAACAAGCTGTTCAGTTCAATCTCAAAAATGAAGTCTATATGGAAGGAGATCGTGCATACGCGGAGTGCGCGGGTTCGCAGAAAATACGTAAACCCGATAAATCTCGTGTAAACGTAATCTTGAGATCTAAGACTCGTATTAATAGACGTTACTTGAAATTTATCTGAGATGAGATATTCAGGTTCAAATTTAGAGTTAGATACGAGTTCTTCAGCTGAATCGCGATTACAGATGCAACGTCGCGTGTATCGTGTTACTCAAAGTGAGAGGCTCACTTCTCAAATCTAACTCTAAATTTATATTAACTACAACTAGCTTACTCAAATCTAACTCTAAATTTATATCCGAGTATCTCTCACGTGGGGCAAATTTCAAGTGATGACTATTAATGACGGATCCGAGGCGCAAGTCTGGTTCTATCCAAAGTGTCTTCCATCTCGGGCAGACCTCGCGAAAGTTAGAAAGAAGAGACGTAGGGGGTCGCGCGGGACACCGCGTGTATAGACTTCGCCACCAGTTGCTTCGAAATTATACGAGGCCGAGCGCAGCCACGAGAGCAGCGTGGGACATGGCGAATAAATCTCAACCCCCGGTGCGGCGCCGCACCGGGGGCGGCGGCGGACGATTTCCGAGAGGGGCGCAGGATGTGTACGCGCTCTACCCCCGGAGAAGGGCGCGTCTCCAAGGGAGGAGTCGGCAGCGCTGAGGACACCGCCGAGGAGGCGGTGGAGGAGAAGGGACGAGGAGAGGAATCGGGACGCGGCGTGGGAACCAGGAGGGAGAGAGTGAATGCTTGCCACCCCTCTCAGGAGTCGAACCCTCGGCTGGGAGGGGAGCGACGGGGGCAGGCGAGCCGGATTTTGCAACCCGGAGAGGAGAGGTCGCCGGCAACGAAAATCGTCGTCGCCGCTTAGTCGTTTCTCGTTCATTGACACGCGTGGGATTGTTTTTCAACCTCAGCCGCGAGACAAGACGCGCCCGCGAATTCCACGAGTGCAACATGGTGACAAATCACCGCTCCGTCTCGTAGCCAGCAGTGAGTGTAACGCGATCGGTCTGTCGTGCCGCGAAAATCTCATCCCCGATCGAGTAATGTCGCGGTCGTCGAATTGACTTGCGGAATCGCGATCGTCAGATTGAGTCGCGATCGTGCGTGTTTTTTGTCTCGGGTTGCTCTGAAAATCGTCGAGCGATCTCCCAGTCGTAATTGACGTTCTGATACATTATGAGATGCATGCTGTGCCGCGGGGAAATCACCGGAACACTACCTACATGAAGATCTGCTACGATGGTGGAGGTGATACATCCTATGTACGAGAATGAGGAGAGGAGCTTCAAAGTGGTGAGTACAGCTGAATCTGAAAAGAAAACCTCAAAGCGATCACGGTCACACGCAGTGATCCGATAAGATTTGCACAACCTTGCTAATGAGAAAGCATCGTCATTAGAGTGTGGTAAAGACGAGACGTTGCAACGCGAAGAGGAGAGAAACGGGTTGAACATACATTACCCCGCATCCATGACTTTGCTCTGAGCTGTAAGCCGTAGGCAAATTGGCCAACCACAGTCGATTATTCTTGGAATAATCGTCTGTGGTTGGCCAGTTTACTTCGAGCGAGCTCGTGAAGCCGGGATTGGATCAGCGAAAGCGTTAACGCTTGAATCTCTTAATTATCGTTCGGGGTTATATTTACGCACGTGATTGCGTTTATCGCAATCGATTTTACCGATGAGTTACATATCACAATTGATTCTTTTTATTTACGGAGAGGAGCGTCCTCGCCGAGACACATCGCGCTTTATCAGCAACAACAACCTTAACTCCGCACGCCGAGGTGGCGCGTTTTATCACGGCGGTGGCAGCATGAAGTAATCGTTTAATTGATAAAACCAGATACACGATACCGCAATCTCGCTCTTTATATCCGCTCCGACCGAATCCATACGCGGCGCATGTTGCCGCGACGTGCATTCAGAGACGCGTTTCACGCGCGGGGAACGCGAGATCTTGCCCGCGGATGATCGCGAGACGAGCGCGTATACGAGCACGCACGAGAAACCCGGAGTATCTCGCGCGCGTAATCGAAGGAGACGGAGAGAGGCACGTACGCGGATGAGAGGCCGGCGGAGAGAATCGAGAGTAGAAAAAGAGGGAGCCGCGCGCGAGACGGCCGCGGACGGTAGCGGAGGAGAGGGTGAGAAAGAGAGAGAGAAAAAGAGACACAGAGAGAGAGAGAGAGAGAGAGAGAGAGAGAGAGAGAGAGAGAGAGCGAGAGAGAGAAAGCCCGCGAGAGGGGCCCGCAGGAACGAGGGGAGATCGAGACGTGCCCCCACTGCCGCTGACCCTCTCTCACCCCACCACGACTCGTGTCGCGTGTCCCATCTCCCACTCCTGTCCCACCGACACGTACACCGACACCGCCGCCGCGAATCGGCCGTACCCACACGTGCGAACGCGAGCGCACGCAACGCGCACGGACGCGCGCGCACACGCGTGCACGACCACGTGCGTGTGCGTGCGTATGCGCGCTCGCGCGCGCGTGTGCATCTGCAAGTGGTTGCTGCAGTTGGTGGCGCGCGGTACCCGCGCCGGAGGAAGACGCGGCGCGTCGTGAGAAAGAGAGAAAGAGGGGGTGGCGGGCGCGGTTGGCGGACTGGGGAGGTGTAGGCAGGACGGCGGGGGGAGGGAGGGGACGACGAGGACGACGACGACGACGAGACGTGGCGGGGAGGGGGGAGTATCGTGCGTGTCGGAGATGCACGCACGCGGCGATGTGTTGGCGGCCACGCGTGTGGTGGAAAGAGAGACCCCTCGGAAGAGAGGACGAGAGAAGAGGCGAAGGAGAGAGAGGTGACTTCTCCTCAGGGCCTTAGTCGCCGACTGTCCGCTACTACGCGCGGTGTTACACCTTCGTCGTCATCGTCCGACCCTCTCCTCCTCCTCCTCCTCTCCTTCGTCGTCGTTGTCGTCGCTCTCCGTCCTTCCCGCACTACCACCCTTTTCTTTCTCACCTGTTGCGGCGCAACCCTTTTGATCGTTCGTTTTCGTGCACCCCGCGCGATCTCTCCTCTAGCAAGCTAGTTCGCGCAGGATCCTCGGCTGCGACTATCGCGTGTCCGACGGAAACAGCCGGGAGACTGCAGGACCAGTGAGGCTATCGAGAATAATTCTAAAGAGAAAGTGAAAAAGAGAGAAAGAAAGAGAAAGAGGGCGGCAGAAAGAGAGGACCACGATAGGGCTGCTGAATTTTTAAGTGCCGGGACAGTCGGGAGTAGCGGGAGCTGAAGGGAGATTTCAACGATGAGCTTTCATCGTGGTGGAAGATAGCATCTATGAGAGAGCCGTCGCGAAAGGACGTTTGGGATATCGAGAAGTTTCGAACAGTTTCGCAGGTCTCGTGGAAGAGACAACGCTAATCCAACGGCTCGTCATTGCCACGTGGACTAGAATTCGTGGAATTAGTCTGTTTACGGATTACACTTGCCTCCATGGTCGATAAACCCATGACACGACGACCGTGACAGTGTGGAAAGTATCGAGCGGAGCATAAACAAGATTGTTCGCGACGGCGTTATATACAAGGAAATTCCCGACATATTTTCGAATGTGTGTTTCCGATACGATATGAGAGTCCGTGTTGTTGAGAGGCCTCGGTACTTGTCACTTTCCTCGCACGTGCCGCGAATGTGACCGTGACGCAAATTAACGGACGAGTGTAGAGCGCCGGGGATCGTCGGAAGCGCGATCGACGAAGGAGACTCTCCGCCGGGCTGATTCGAGATTCGCCGTTTTGCCCCGAGGAGATTTCGCACGGGAAGTGCGAATTCGGAAAGTGCTAAGCGCGAACGGATAACGCGGATTCGCAGTGATGTGGAGTGCGGGCTACGAGATGCACCCGACGGTGGAAGGTGCTCCCGATCGTCGCCACCATTGAACGACTGTCGACAAGCGGATTCACGCTGCCATCTGCACGAGAGGTGAGCTCGTCGCGATGCATGGTACCCGTGAAAATTTCGTCGAAGCGCCGTCTCTACCCGTTAACCCACCCTCCAAACTTTTCCATTTACGTCACAGAATGATACAAAAGAGCATAGAGATACACACGAAGTCGCCACGTCATCCAGATAGACGGCTGTGCGCGAATTTGGCAGTAACTTGCCTAATCGATTTGCGTCTCTTATAGATGATTCATACGCCTGGCGCTCATACATCGAGAAAGAAGTACTTGGAGATTTATTTGCGGCATAACTCTGGTGAAAATGATGTTTAACGACACTTAAACTCTTCTTTGCGCAAAGAAGAGTTTCGAAATTCTTCAGAACAAAAGAATTTATTTATTTATTCGACATTTGATACTCTTTCTTATACTTTCATTTCCGCCAGGGAAAGGCTTATTTCACAGAAATAACCTTCATGTCCCACAGATAAATTAAGTATTTTTCTATTAATCAACTATTTTTCTTTCTCAATGTATTCTTTTTATTACGCAGACGGACGAAATAGAAATACGAAAAAATTCTCAAAATTCACTCAAGATAGTATATCTTGTGAAATTTAAAGTGAAAATTTAAATGTATAATGATACGTGGTGAGAATCATAAAAATCTACCCGAGTATTTTCTAACTTCGAGTCTCAGATCTTTGGTATTTTAATGTTAAGCGATGCTTTAAGAACGAAAAAGGGACAAAAATTCATACAAATCCGTTAATAATTGACACGAGTGTTGAGAAAAATTTTAAAAATTTCAAAGGGATCTCCCTTAATATCTTTTACATGACCACACACATCTGCCTTTACGACCGAGGGAGATTGAGCCTTCGCGAACATCTCACAAGCTTCAACTTACGTGCCGTATCGTTTCCCTTGACAAGTCGTGCACAGAAATTACACCGCCGTGTTCCGAAATTCGCGCGTGTCTCCTCATACCCGGCATGGCCAGCAGAGGTAGGAACAGGTTCAGGATAATTATCGATTGGGAGAAAAATGCGGCGATCCGTTTAACGGTGCCGGCGAGCGCGATTATCGCGGCCCGCGATTGCGATTCCGTCGCGTCCGCAGCTGCGGGTGTCGCTTTTATATATTATTAAAATTGCGTCGCGATATCGGCGACGCGATCGCAGCGTGTGTGAGCCCGCGCACATTTTCGCGCTTGGCACCGCTCATTATCTATTTGACGCGCCTGAAACATCTTTCCGTACATCATTAAGTATTAATAGCGAAGAATAATGAGTTCTTCCCGTTAACATTATGGGCCGCTTACAGGGCGAGCCACGTTAGCCATGTCGCCGGAGATTATCGCCCGGAGATATCGCGAAAGTTAGCCTACTAATTGCTGCGAGACGGGGGTGAGAGACACCGAGAGGCGCAGCGCGCTTGGGCGCGCGCGACCGCCGACGCCATTAGGGGGAAACGGTTGTTCGCCTTATCGGGGATCGTTAGTACCGCGGCGTATATCCGTGTCCGTATCTCGTCTCGAAAGGTGTATTTATTTTCCCTAGCCTTTCTCTCTCCTCGCGCGGCGCACGTTGACAATTAAATCGCCCTTTGTCTCGTTTTCGCGAGAAAAAGAGAGGGAGAGAGGAAGAGGGAACGCGCGCCAGTTGCACTGAGAAAAGAATGTTTGCAACTTTAATCGCATGGAGAAATAATTTCTATAAATTATGGTCAAGGAAATCATTTCTTTTTTCACCAAATTCTATACGTATCGCGCCCATTATGTGCGTTTCGTCGTACAACACGTATCCCGATGCTTTTTTCACCTAATATTCCCGCGGCAGCCGCGGTTAGGAAGGCGAGGAGAAGACAGAGAGAGAGAGAAAGAGATTTATATTTGGGCTACTCTGAAAGGAAAGAATATATTCTGAAGTCACATCGCTTTTCATTTTGATTTAGATATTGGATTGTCAATTGAAATTAAGGTCAGGGAATACTATACTTCGACTATTGACAAAATATCGATATTTTCCTGCAAAATCGACGTGATATATCGTTCGCACAGAACTATAAATGCTTTTACATAATGAAGATGTGTGCGAGAATAACTTCTAGCATTGCCCAATATGTGATGGAAATAATAAAAAAAAAGAAACGATAGAAAAATACAAAATTGATACCTGGAGCTGTCGGTTAGCGTAATTTGCCTGACACGAAAGTTCTGCCGCTTGAAAATTTCAAAGAACATCGTTGCATATTTACAGCTGAATTTAGAAGTTTGAAAATATGCGGGAGATTTCCAGAAAGATTTCTACATATGCGTGGTTATGTTAATCCGTTAAATATGACAAAACAGAGCAGAACATATTTAAATAAGTTCTATATGTACAAGAAATGCGACAAGAATAGCGTGATTGTGTCACTGTTTATCTGACATGACGTTTTGTCATTTATGTCATGGACATTTTTGGAGTTCATCGTCGATTTTGATATCCCCTTAAGTTCGCCAGCTGGTACATGGGGTAGATTCTACCCCAGCTTTTATCTATCACGTAATCTCCTGAAAATTTTATGTTGCTCTCTCTCTCTCTTTCTCTCTCTCTCTCTCTCTTTTTCTCGCTCTCTGCAGAATTAATATATTAATATATTGTACAGTTTGAATCATTAAGATATGTCCAAAATTTCATATTAGAATTGAAAATTCAGCACCTATATTTTTCACCGCAGTGACCTACTTTAGCCTTTCGATGCCGAAGTAGAACACATCTCCAAGATATGTGACTAGTATAAAAAATATGCTCCGAGATTTGCGTATTAATAAAAATAAACGCACCACTGGTTTCCGTCGATGCCGATTTCGTCCACCTTCGCGATCATCGGAAGACGCGTCTGCGATGTCTCGAACACAGCCCATTTCGTTCGCACGTACAAACGCGGACATTCGCGGAAAGTCTCTCGACGTATTCCGCTCCTCCGTCGACTTTCCGTCGTAAATTATCGCCGACACGGGCAACCGCATAAATCGCGCGCGAGTATGCGGAATAGACCGGAAAAAGGCGAGTGAGTGAGGTGAGATGAGGTGAGGGGTGAGGCGAAGTGAGATGAAGTATCAGCAGCACCACCACCATCACCACGTGCGATACGAGCGCGTTGTCGCACAATAGCGGCGAGTGTCCGTGTGTTAGCACGTCGCGCGGCGATTCGGTACTTACATAATTCGCGTATGTTACAGCAGGTAGTAACGCGCAGCTAGCCGTCACGCAATCTCGTCATTCTTTCGCGGTGAAAATTGATTGCGTCTGATACGCGGTAGCCCGTAAAAACACGTCAGTGCAAATAGCTCCGCGAAAATAGACCGCCCCTTCGCGGTTTCGCGCGGAAATCACCTTTTAACCTTCCCGCGAAAACGATATTCTTGTGCTCAGGGGTACATCTATATCTACATGTTGCTTCTGCTACATGTTGAATCCACACGGGACTTGAGGAAAATTAGTGTCAGGTTTAGCATTATTGTGCATTGTTGTATTATTCGCGAGTATCTTGTATTAATATAATAAATTATATTATTCTGTGATTTATTATACTGGAAAAAAATATTTGAAAACTTCTTTGTGGGATATAAAATTTATTTCTGTGAAACAATTTTTACTGCATCGAAAAAAATACTTGAAAATTTCTTTGTGGGGGGAATGTAAAATTTATTTCTGTAAAAATTAATTTTTGTCCCCCAAATAAATTTTCAAGTATTTTTTTTCAGTGTGCAAAAGTCTCTTCGTGCAGGATACTTTTCTCTGTCGTGTTTTAATTTTAAATAGCACTCAGAGCGATTTGTCTCGCGAGTTTGTCGTTGGCTTTGCACAGTTTGAAGAGTTTACTCTTCTAGATTATTTTTTTTACTTTACTGATCGAGACTAATCCGTCGCCAATCGGCGTTCGCGCGTCTCATTTTTAGGCTACCGGCGATTCGCTGTTATCTCTCCGCGTTGAGTGTGACGAGAGCTCCTCGGCTTAATCTCGTGCGAGGCAGTCGTTTCGCCGCGGGAACAGCGCGCGGTAACCAAGTTTCCGCGAGTCTCGCGTACGTCCGAGCGGGACGAGCGAGTGTAATCGGTTAATCCCACGGACGCAGCGGGACGTCCCGCCGACGGGACAGTCAGAGTGACATTAAAATACAACGAGATACAGTCACCGCGTATCACCCGTCGCCGTCGTCGAGAAATTCCGGACCCGATGTCACGCTGTAACATTGTAACCCCGGTCGGTATTCCGGTAGCATAACAAGTAACCGGCGGTATTTATTGCGTGCTACTCTATATATAACGCGTAGGACCGTCTTTCCTCTCGTGTGCCCCGAATCGTGCGAGTGCGTCGCACGCACGGCTGTGGAAGCCACGCGCCGTCGAAGTAGCCTAGGATCCTTGTTGAACTCGCACGTCATTGGGTAGAGGAGAGGCAAAATTCGCGTCGTTTGTTAAGTCATGAATATTAATAATATGAATATTAAATCTCGATGTCGTAATCTATATCATAATTTTATCCTAGAGCGACATATATTGAGCATTATAGCTGAAATATATTGCAAGGAATGTACGAAAAAAAAGGACGGGAGCTGCATTTGACCATGAAAACGTACATTGAGACAAACAGGTTTTGGTGGTTTAATTTAAGACACTTTGTATAAGATTGCAAGAATCATGTTTCGAATATTCTCGATTTAATAAAAAATGATACAACCTCGCGCAAACAACTAAACGTTTCATGTCGACGTGAGTGCTAATGCGCAACCAAAACAATCCTCTGCTCGGGCCTGAGAGTTTGATCGGGCTATTGTTGTCATGGCCGTGTGAGCACGGTGATTGAGACAGAATTATTTTGCCTTCTGATGTTTTTACGACGGACCCATTGCACGTTCGGTAAGGAGACACGAGGAGAGTGCACAATTAATAATGTATTCTTTGACGCGCCACATTCCAGACGGGATTTCGCCATCGATCCATTTGTCATTCGCGTCGTCGGTAACGGTACATAAACAAACCTGTAAAC